GCCCGCGGCCGCCGCCATCCTGCGCCGGCGGAGGAGAGACCGGAGGCGGAACTCGGGGTGGAACCGGAAACGGAAACCGGAGACTAGGGCCAACTCCAACGCACAACGCACGAAGTCTGGGACAAATGCCACGGCCAAACGGGCCGTGCTAACTGTGCCGGCCCGGTAGCACGCTGGCACGGCACGACCCAGGCTAAACGGGCCAGGCCCGGCATGCGGCACGCCATGGGCCGTGCCTGGGCCTGGAGGCTGGGCACGCGGGCCGGCACGGCACGGCCCGTTTATTTTTTTGAAATATATAAATATATGTCCTATATAAATATCTATAATACTCTAATATGTTCAAATTTTTTGCCGTGCATGCGTATTTTAGTGCTTGGATCTGAGTATTAGTAGTGTTATATAGTGTAGTCTTTGTTGAATATTGTCTTTGGAGGCCGAGCTCCATGGAGCTCGGTTTTGGAAAATTTGAATTTCATCAAATTTCATATTTTCTGCATTTTAAAAAATTCTAAAAAAACACAGATATACATGAAGGCATAACACATATGTGTGTAAATTTTCAGGACAAAATACGTTGAAATGAGGCCTGTGCAAAAATGACAAATCTAGGGCTTTTTAACACATGATACTATTCATCCTCCCGGGCCATGAATTTGTCATTTTTGTACAGGTCGCATTTCAACGTTTTTCATCCTGAAATTTTACCCACATACACATAACATTCTTGTTTACTTGCATACTTTTTCAAAAAAAATTAAACCAAATAGTTTGAATTTTGATTTATTTTCAAAAAAAGGCCTCCATGGAGGCCGAGAGCCAGACGTCCATTCTCAATCTTTGTATTTTTTTTATCCTTTTGTAATTCTATAGCATGTCTTGTATTCTTTTACTTATTTGAGATGGAAGTTTTTAATGATGTAGGTGCTAATAAAGCTCTAGATTTATCCCACATAATAGTCTAACAAATTTTGCAATTTTCCACATTTTTTGGCCTTTTCGTTGTTTTCAGAGGTATTACGAACAAAAAAGGAAAAAAAACCGCGCCAGGCGGGCCAACGCGCCGCAACGGGCCGACGTGCCGTGTGCCGGCCCACGTAGCCTACGTGTCGTGTTTGGGCTGCTAGCTCCAGTACGTGGGCCGGCACGGCACGACCCGGTTATTATTCGTGCCGACGCGGGCCGTGCCGGGCCGGCCCAGCCCGTTTGGCCAGGTATGAGCCCAACACTCGCGTTCGGGGGCAAATTATGTTTGACTCGCCCGACCCAATTCCGACGCAAATTTTAGCCGGATTTACGCTCAGACGAACACATCATAGACATGCACGTGTCCTCTCATTGTTTGCCCTCGGGCCCACATGTCGGCAATGCAACTGGTTCCCACCGGCCCCATTTAATCCGCACGTGTGGATGGGCCCGCACATGAGCCTCCCAGCCGCCCTCAATGCGTCCTTTTTAATGATGAAGTCGTCGACCGGCCAGTCCACTTTTGAATTCGTCCACACTCTTCTATTGTCGCTTCGTGCCCCGACAAGCCCAATCCTAGCACTGCCCTCGCTCCCGCCGGCCGCCGACCAGCCATGGGGATGTGGAAGTGGATCCCCGGCAAGAAGGGAAAGCAAGACCACGAAGCAGGGTCGTTCTTCACGTCGTTGGGGAGTGTCATTGCCTACTCCATCTCGCCGCCCACCGCCTTTGCTATTTCACTGCCCACGGTCATACGTCAAGGTGGAGGTGTGCCAGCTCTACTGGGACACGACCACCCCGTTGTCGTGGTCCGACATGCATCTCCCGAATGGATGACATCTCAGCCCAGATTGGGTGCCCGTGCCGCCAATCACGGCGAGCGAGCGCACCTGTCTGCTGGAGATCAACTGTCGGTGCTCCCACATGCCTTCGGATCACCTCGATCATCCTAGGTATTGTTGGTGCAATAATTTATCTCCTTATGTTTTGGAGATTGTTGACATAAACAGTAAGTGTTTGCTAGTGCACATAGAGTAACAGGTCCCTAGAGTCATGAGAAGTTTGGTTCAAACTCTGAAGATAATCTCCTGCGTGGCAGCGAGGATTATCACTAAAGACTATGATGTCGAGAGTGACCCCAAAAAATTGTTGACGCAAAACAATTGGTTTGGTGTCTGTCTGTAGCGACCCAATCTCAAACGGTCAAGTCTTTGTACTTAAGTGTCATCCCTGGATCGGTATTGCTGACACACACAATACTCGGGGATTTATAACAGAGTTCAATCACACGCTTAATACATCGAATGTCACAAAAGAGAACTTATTACAATAATATGGCTGAAGGCCATCTAAATAAGATAACAGCGGAAGCTTCGAAGGTAGAAGAGTCTATCCAACTCCGCGGCAAAATTGAGTGCATGACAACGACCTAGCGCACCTTACTCTTCGTCTGAAAACTCTGCAACATAATATGTTGCAGCTTGTGTAGGTCAGCACATGGAATATGCTGGCAAGATAACACTATAGAGCAATGAATAAATAACAGCTATCATTACATGCATATATGGCTGGTGGAGGCTCTATGGTTATCATTTGCATGAAGCTAATTTTTTCCTACAACAAAGAAATATATTTTGTTTAACTACAAAGTTGGTTGAAAGTTATTGAGAAGGTTCCTCCAACTCAATCCCAAATTAATAATTATAACCCAACAAATTAAATAAGTAAAGTGATGAGATCAAATCAATAATTCAAGTACCAGATACTCAAGATGTCCATAACCGGGGACACGGCTAACCATGATTAGTTTGTACACTCTGTACAGGTTTGCACACTTTTCCCCACAAGACTCGATCTCCTCCGTTGGATTTCTCGCACTACCTGGTGTTTGAGAAACGGATGACCAAGACACAGTCTTTTAGAAGCATTAACTCTTTACTCTGGGTAGACAGTACCACCTACATCTGCTAGCCTACCACTGAAAGAGGTCACATAACTTACTCAACTATGCCAGAGCCCATAATGGCTTGTGGCTGCATACGGAAGTTTCTAGCCTGAATAATCTCAAGACCCTTTGAGCCTGGGTGGCAAACCATAGGATGATCACACGGGTACTCTGCTACCTCTTGAGCACTGCGTTGTTTTTCCCTTGAAGAGGAAAGGGTGATGCAACAAAGTAGCGTAAGTATTTCCCTCAGTTTTTGAGAACCAAGGTATCAATCCAGTAGGAGGCCACACACAAGTCCCTCGTACCTACACAAACAAATAAGAACCTCGCAACCAACGCGATAAAGGGGTTGTCAATCCCTTCACAGTCACTTACGAGAGTGAGATCTGATAGAGATAATAATGATAAGATAATTTTTTTGGTGTTTTTATGATATAGATTGAAAGTAAAGATTCCAAAGTAAAAATAGATTGGAAACTTATATGATGGAAAATAGACCCGGGGGGCATAGGTTTCACTAGTGGCTTCTCTCAAGATAGCATAAGTATTACGGTGGGTGAACGAATTACTGTCGAGCAATTGATAGAAAAGCGAATAATTATGAGAATATCTAGGCGTGATCATGTATATAGGCATCATGTCCACGACAAGTAGACCGACTCCTGCCTACATCTACTACTATTACTCCACACATCAACCGCTATCCAGCATGCA